GTAGCCAGTCCTAATGAGTTTCTGCTGTTGGGTGTGGCCTGTTATGCTAATGAGTTCCTGCTGGGCGTGGCCAACTTTGGAGCCAGCCGGAACTCCGTTCCTGTGCGTTCCTGCCCAAAAATAGCCCTGGGTTTGACAAGGGTCAAGTTCTGTGAATGGTGGCTGAAGAGGAGAAGAGCTGGGAGTGGGAGGTAGAATCGGAGGTAGACAGGAGATTGAGTTTCCAAGCCAGTAAAGGCCAAGAACAAGCAGTACCATCTCTCCTGATACCTATCCTCCTGCAGCGCTGTCATTCCTCTGACCCAGGACCTTAGGGTTAGGTTAAATCAGGAAGTATGTAAGGCTGGCTTTCAGAAGGGCTTTCCTGGTTGATGGTTAGATCCTTTTTAAGGGCTACAGCTTGGCATTTTGACTGGATTCTTCATTTGTGACAGCTGTGCTTGGTTGAGCCTGTATCGTGTCCACTGACTCCCGTCGCAAACCACCTTGAGTCTGTTGTAGTAGAAAGATGGGTCAGAAGAACGATGGTGATGAATCAGGGACATCATGCTGAGTTCCAGAGACTGTAAATGTGAAGAGAAGGAACAGATGCTTAGCCAGGCATAGAATCCGAGGCCTGGCTTTTATAAGAGCCACGTTGCTCTGTGGGAGGGGGCAGCTGACTTGCAGGCTCTGCCAGGTGGTGGGACTGGTATTCCAACCCGGACAGCAACCTTGAGTTGCTCCTGTTCCTTCTCAGCTAATAATTCTGTCCCCATTCCTGATTTCATCACCTGTTTCAACCTTGTTCATCCCACTCCACAGGCAGGTCTTTGGATGCACTGTCTTGTAGCGGTTCTTCACCTCCTTCTGCGTTGCATTCTCCTGCACCCCAGTGTTCTCAGTATTTAACAAATAATGTTAAAGAAGGCTCAGGCCCACCTCCCTAGTGAGGGAATTTTTTGATGATGGACTTTGCGTGGAGGAACTTTTCCATTATACAAGCTCTTGACCCGCAGTCTGAAATTTTACAGTCCAGACACAGGCTTGCTTCCTCAGTGAGAACCAGGCTGAATCCGGCTCAGATATATTGAGGGTTACTGGATTTCGTTGTCTCAGATCGAATGGAAAAGTAGGCATGCCAATATGGCTGTAATGGTGAGACTAGGTCTTAAGAAACTAAGAGTAGCCATGGGGGGTCATCACCAGATGCCCCCAGAAGGCCTACAAGCAGCACTCCGAAGCCAGAACCTCCTTCATTGCTGGCACCCAAGCAACTGGCGTTCAGTATCCAGAGCTCTTTTTGTAGAAAAAGCCCAGCAGGAACTCATTAGCATAATAGGCCACACCCAACAGCAGAAACTCATTAGCATGTTAGGCCACACCCCTGACAGCACAGCTCATTAGCACATTAGGCCACACCCCCATGTTATCAGAAGTGTGGTCATCCAGCCACACCCACCTTTTGCTTGCTATTCTGTTTACCTTGTTTGTTGTCAAAACCCAGGGCTTTTTTGTAGCAGGGACTCCTTTGCATGTTAGGCCACACACCCCTAATGTAGCCAATCCTAATGAGTTTCTGCTGTTGGGTGTGGCCTATTATGCTAATGAGTTCCTGCTGGGCGTGGCCAACTTGGGAGCCAGCCGGAACTCCGTTCCTGTGTGTTCCCGCCCCAAAATAGCCCTGAGTATACCACTTCTGAACATGGAGGTTCCCCATTGATGGTCCTTGACTCTGTGAATTTCTCTAATCCTTTTACCAGGCTAAGTAAATTAGTGGCCATCAATATACCCCATGTTAGTGAATTCCTTAAGTCTCTGAGTGAAGAAGTACTTGCTTTTGCTTGTCCTGACTTTTTTGCCTATTGACTTCATTGGGCATTGATGAATTCTGATATTATGGCGGTGGTGGGGAGTGATAACGACTTTCCCCACTCCCTGCAAAGCCCCCACTCTGCCGTGCAGCTTTCAGGGCGACATTGAGACTGTTACTTGGGGCTGTTGTGAGGACGAAATGAAGGAGGGGAGAACCATGAAGCGCGTTGAAGAGCTTGGGCCAGCAAGAAATCTCAGCCTAGCCTAGGCTTTTGCTAGGAGGAAGGAAGAACGATGCACGGCAGCCTGAAATCTTTGGAAGAAAGGCAGGATCCTAAAAAAGTATATATTTTAAAACAAGTATCGTGGTGAAAAGGAATATTGGTCGATGCAGGAGTCCAGATGTTGGTCCAGAAGTTGGAGGGATGCTCATCTCTGTGTTGTTTTTACTTCCCTTGGATCCTGGCATCTTTTGATTGTTGCTTTTGTGTTATGCCCTCAATGAGGCGTTGGCTTTATCCTCTTTGCTCTCTGCTGCCATGGCACCTGCTTCCTTGACCCTCTGCCTCTTGTCTCTTAACCATAGATTGAGAAGTAACACTGTTGCTTCTCTCCTCAGTGACTGTACGTCATCCGCACGTCGCGAGCAGAAGCGCGAACAGTACCGCCAGGTCCGGGAGCACGTGCGGAATGATGACGGTCGCTTGCAGGCTTGTGGGTGGAGTCTGCCGGCCAAATACAAACAGGTAGGCCCAGTGGATCGAGACGCAGGGCTCTTTTCGTAGAAAAAGCCCAGCAGGAACTCATTAGCATAACAGGCCACACCCAACAGCAGGAACCCATTAGCCTATTAGGCCACACCCCTGACAGCACAGCTCATTAGCATATTAGGCCGCACCCCCATGTTACCAGAAGTGTGGTCATCCAGCCACACCCACCTTTTGCTTCTTATTCTGTTTACCTTGTTTGTTGTCAAAACCCAGGGCCTTTTTTTGTAGCAGGAACTCCTTTGCATGTTAGGCCACACACCCCTAATGTAGCCAATCCTAATGAGTTTCTGCTGTTGGGTGTGGCCTATTATGCTAATGAGTTCCTGCCGGGCTGTGGCCAACTCGGGAGCCAGCCAGAACTCCGTTCCTGTGCGTTCCTGCCCAAAAATAGCCCTGATCGAGAGGCAGGAGTGGGAAGGTCGGGGAGACTGTCCAGTGTGAGAAACCCACCAGTCTTCCCTTGCTCACTTCGTTTTTGATAAGTGGATCCCAGGAGAAGCTCTGCTGACCGTCCGTTCTGTTCAGTATCCTGCACAGTGGCCAAAGCCCTTCTGCAACTGGTACATAGAGTTTTACCTCCTATGAACTGGGAGGTTCTATTTGGCTTTCCACAGACCCATCTTACATGAATGTTTATTGCACTTGCCTTTATCTCTGTGCTGCCTTTCTACCCAACATAGAGTCCCCAAGGTGCTGAAGAATCACAACCATTAATAGGCTCTTAAAATATATTTATTACAATAATTTTTTTAAAAAAAAATTAAGAACACATAAACTGGAAGGGGGATCCGTGAAAGAATCTCAGACTAAACAGATCAGGCTTCACTGCTGGCAGAATAGGGTGAGCCAGAGGGAAGATGAATACCCATGGGTAGGGAATGCCATGATCTTGGCACCACAACAAAGGGGGCCCTTTCTTGTGTGTGCCCACCCATCTAGGCTTAAACAGCGAGGGCACCCCCAGTGGTCAGGTAGATTCATAGGGAAGTAGGCTGTCCTTCTGCTGAACAGGACTATAGATCCACCAAGTCCAGCCTTATCTGCTCAGACCAGCAGTGGCACTGTGGCATTTATTTTATTTATTTATCATTCAATTTATATCCCGCTCGAACCCCGAAGGGCCTCTGAGCGGCTTACACACAATCATTGGTTCCTAACTAAGGCCACAATTATAGGGGGGGTGACTTCCTACCAACACCCGGCAGCAGGGCTTGTTGTTGGAGTCTGGCTTCTTCTGGCACTCCACTTCCAATGTCTCTTCCTGTTCCGTGGCTTCCTCCGGCGGGCTCCTCCTCCTTTTCAAGTCCTGGGACCTTTTAACTAGAGAGGGCAGAGACTGAACCTGGGATTTCCATTGTGGAGAATAGGTTCCCTTCCACTGAGCTTTGGCCCTTTTAAAACCATCCAAACTATTCCTGCAATCCTAAACCCAGTTTAACTCTTCTAAGGCCATTGAAATGATTACGCATAGAATGATATAACTCTGCTTAGGATATCACTCTTAGTGGCTGTTGCTACATCCACAAGTGAATGATGTGGCTTGGAAAGAAGCATTTTCCTTTGTCTGTCCTAAATACGCCATGGCAGACGTACTTCTTGTCCAACATTGCCCTTGCCCTGTAGAAGCCAGTGGCGTTTTTGTAGCACAGAGCCAAAGTTCAGCTTGGTTGAAAAAACGTTTAGAGGGGGCCAGAAACATCTATAAAGTTAGTTCTGCAAGTATCTAGAACAGCGGTTCTCAACCTGTGGGTCGCGACCCCTTTGGGGGTCGAACGACCCTTTCACGGGGGTCGCCTAAGACCATCGGGAAACACAAATTTCCGATGGTCTTAGGATAGGGCTCTCAAGTCTCGCCAAATCCTGCCTATCAGATATTTACATTACGATTCATAACAGTAGCAAAATTACAGTTACGAAGTGGCAACGAAAATAATTTTATGGTCGGAGGTCACCACAACATGAGGAACTGTATTTAAAGGGTCGCGGCACTAGGAAGGTTGAGAACCACTGGTCTAGAAGAACTGGTTTGAATTATTTGCTTCGTGGATGTGTTTTCACTGAACAACTAAGATGTCTTTGACTGTTTTCTGTGTTCCTGATAGCTGAGTCCTAATGGTGGTCAGGAAGATAACCGTATGAAGAATGTCCCCGTTCCTGTCTACTGCCGACCTCTGGTGGAGAAGGACCCAACCATGAAGGTAAATGCAGGGCTGGTGGGCTGGCCAAGCCACTCAGGTGGCTTCTAGTCAGGGCACTGCAGTGAGGAAGACGCTCAGGCCCCTCCTGGCCATCAGCAGTGTGGCAGAAGCATATATAATCTTTTTTTAAAAACCCAACCTTTTATTTCACATTATTTCCTTGATGTTCTTTTTAAATATTTCCCCTTTTCTTCCTTGAAAGTAAATGTTTGCATTGGTTTTACTTTAACATATTATTGTTTTCTTTCCATCTCGCATCTCTAGGACAGTTTTATCTTCTCTTCCTTCTATCTCTCACCTGTTTTCATCCCATGCTTGTTTAGTTTACATCGGCAGACGGAGACCCATTTTTCTTATTTCTGTGCAGTGCCTAGTCTTTTTTAGACACCTGTATAAATCGTGAAAGGAGCTGCGGTGGCTCAAGTGGTTAAGACGCTGAACTGCAGGCTGTGGAAGGTCAGTAGTTCAGCAGTTCAAGACCCGGGTTGCTGCATGACAGAGTGAGCTCCCGTCTCTAGTTCCAGCTCCTGCCAACTTAGCAGTTTAAAAGCAAGGAATTGCAAGTAGATAAATAGGTACCACTTCGGTGGGAAGGTAACAGCATTCCGTGCGCCTTGGTGTTTAGTCATGCCGGCCACATGACCACGGAAATGTCTTCGGACAGCGTTGGCTCTTCGGCTTTGAAACGGAGATGAGCACCGCAACCCTAGAGTCGGATTCGACTGGCTTTCGAGCAAGGGAACCTTTACCTTTACCTTTATAAATCATGAAAGACTGTTATGAAAATTGTGTGGGCTTTCTGCCACCCTCCATATTTTCCATGCCATTCCGTCTTGTACATTCCTGAGAGGGATATTATTTCCTGGAACCCATTACTGATTTGTGCAGCATTCTTTGTAGCATGGATTTCTGAAAGCTGGAACACGGCAAACATTTCTGGGACATGAAATGCTTCGATCCTGCTAGCTGCTCTCCCTTTCTTACCCTCCCTTGCTTTCATTTTTAGTTGTGGTGTGCAGCAGGAGTCAACTTGACAGGCTGGAAGCCTGTGGAACAAAACGCTGGAAATGGACAAAAGCCAGATCCAGGATGCGATCCTTTAACCTGCGACCGGGAAGTGGAAGGAGAGAACGGCAAGAGCAACCACACATCTCCGGAAAAGAAAAAGGTTCGGAGGAATACGTGCTGATTTTTTGTTTACAAATGCGGAGGGTAAATCAGTGGGGTTTTTTCATACCTGGTAAAGCAATACCTCCACTCCTCAGTTAAAGAAGAAGAGAAGAGATTGGATTTATACCCTGCCCTTCACTTGGAGTCTCAGAGCGGCTTACAAACTCCTTTCCCTCCCCCTCCCCACAACAGACACCCCTGTGAGGTGGGTGGGGCTGAGAGAGCTCTGACACAAACTGCTCTTTTTCAAGGACAGCTGTGCCAGAGCTTGTGACTGACCCAAGGTCACATCAGCAGGTGCAGGCGGAGGAGTGGGGAATCAAACCCAGTTCTCCCAGATTAACCACTACACCAAACTGGCTCATAAGAAATAACCACATAAGGGCACCTCAGTACACGTCGGCGCTATTCAGTTAAATCAAATGGACATCGAACCAAATACAGTGAATGCCAAGCAGTGTGTTAGTGAGGGGTTAGTGGTTGTGGAGGTGGTGTAAATGAAGTCTTTAGAGGCTACTATGGGGAAGAACAAAAGAAAAAAAGGGAACACAGATATGGCACCCCAGGAGCCTCCAAGGGTGGAGAACAAATGAGGTGATGGTTCATTGAGTGACATGTTGGGAATGCCGCCTGGCACTTGCTTTTTACTGCTACTCCCAGTCTTTTGGCGAGATGCTCAGGTCTGAAGGTGAGCGTCTATCTTGCCCAAGGAGCAGGCAGGCAGGCTTGACTGAAGATTAGCAGTCTGGAGATCCCAAGGGGGATAGCCTCATGACCTTGTTCACCAAGGGAAAGGAGCAAAGCTGTGGGTGGATTGGTCCTCTAGTGCAACCTGACTTCCTGAGCTATGAAATGATGGGCTGTGGTGGTGATCCCGAGCTCAAATTGGCTATTCTGCCCTTCTCTGCCCAGGATTTCCAATGGCCCAGAGAACCTGAGCTCCTTGGATGAGGGGCTGGGATTTAAAAAAAAGCGCTTGGGGCTCGTTAGCTTGGAGACACGACGACTGAGGGGTGACATGATTGAGGTTTATAAGATTATGCATGGGATAGAGCAGGTAGAGGAAGAGGTACGTTTCTCCCTTTCTCACAATGCAAGAACTCGTGGGCACTCCATGAAATCGCTGAGCGGTCGGGTTAGAACGGATAAAAGGAAGTACTTCTTCACCCAAAGAGGGATTAACACTTGGAATTCACTGCCACAGGAAGTGGTGGCGGCTACAAGCATGGAGGGCTTCAAAAGGGAATTAGATAGGCATATGGAGCAGAGGTCCATCAGTGGATATTAGCCACAAGGTATAGATAGGGGCTCTGGGGCAAGTGATGCTCTGTCTTCTTGGTGCTTGGGGTGGGGATCAACAGTGGGAGGGCTTCTAGCGTCCTGGCCCCACTGGTGGACCTCCTGATGGCACTGGTAGTTCTGGCCACTGTGTGACACAGAGTGTTGGACTGGATGGGCCTTTGGCCTGATCCAACATTGGCATCTCTTATGTTCTTATGTAAGTGACGGATGGATAGATAGGCCACGAGAACATTCTGGGTGTACCAGCATCCCTCTGTTCCCGCTGTGATTTCCCCCCATACGGGCTGGAGCATTGCTGTGAGCAACCTTAGCTCAGTAAAGTTCCCTCACTGAATGAGATTGGAAAATCCTTCAAATATTAAAGGTTTATTAAAAATGCTGTAAGATAATTGGAAATGAAATGACAAGATAACTATATTCATTTCTGCCTCTCCCTGGTTATTGTTTTGTGAATGTCCGATTTGCATTTCATTTTGATTGAGCTTCCTGGTGTCCCGGCGAACTGTCTCTTTCCTCTGCATTTTGACCTTCCACAGGCCAAAGAACTGCATGAGATGGACGCCACATCCAGCAGAGTGTGGATTGTCACAAGCACCTTATCCACAAGCAAAATTGTGATTGTTGATGCCAACCAGCCTGGCACAGTTGTGGATCATTTCACCGTCTGCAATGCCCACGTCCTTTGCATCTCCAGCATACCAGGTAAACAAAGGTGAAGCTCGACGTATGTGCAACAGGCCACTCCTTAACCATGCACCGTCACTCCATAACTGTTGGCATTCCGTATGCTGGAGGAGAACAGAGAAAAAATTAGATGAATGGTCTGGTATGATTTCAGGACCACGGACAGCACACGGGCTTTATCTTTCCCCTGAACGATTTGTGTCAACCGAAGCACTGAGTTTCATTTTACTGTATTCCATTATCCCTTGTCAGTGTTTACTTTATTTCCCTACATCTTTCTTTTTTCTCTTGGTCTTTCCTAGCTTTTTGATTATTTGTACCTGGATTGTGATTTACGTCCAGTTGGCGATGTTGTGTTTTGTCGGCTTGCTGCTTTAAGTGTGGTTGACCAGAAAGCCGGTTCTTAAAAAAGAAGAAGATATTATTCAGTGAAATCCCAATGGTTTTTCTGTTTTGTTTTACCCTTCCCCAGTTCTTTTCTCATGGTGGCTCCTGTTCTATGTGGCTTCCCCCCCCCCCCGAATGACTCTTGTGATCCACAGCATAACTTTTCGGTGGTCAAAAAAGATTCCATTCCCCTTGGTGGGAAAACTAATTGGATGCAGCATGGGTGTCCCCTTTGCATCGTGGCTTGTCTCTGAGGATTTTGGGATGGTGTACACAAAACCTGTGATGGCTCAAGTGTTAAGACGCTGAACTGCAGGCTGTGGAAGGTCGGTAGTTCAGCAGTTCGAGACCCGAGTGCGCCGCATGACGGAGTGAGCTCCCGTCTCTAGTTCCAGCTCCTGCCAACCTAGCAGTTCGAAAGCAAGAAATTGCAAGTAGATTAATAGGTACCACTTCGGTGGGAAGGTAGCAGCGTTCCGTGCACCTTGGTGTTTAGTCATTCCATTCCCCTTGGTGGGAAAACTAATAGGATGCAGCATGGGTGTCCCCTTTGTATCGTGGCTTGTCTCTGAGGATTTTGGGATGGTGTACACAAAACCCGCGGTGGCTCAAGTGGTTAAGACGCTGAACTGCAGGCTGTGGAAGGTCAGTAGTTCCAACTGCAGGCTGTGGAAGGTCAGTAGTTCAGCAGTTCGAGACCCGAGTGTGCCGCATGACGGAGTGAGCTCCCATCTCTAGTTCCAGCTCCTGCCAACCTAGCAGTTCGAAAGCAAGAAATTGCAAGTAGATAAATAGGTACCACTTCGGTGGGAAGGTAGCAGCGTTCCGTGCGCCTGGGTGTTTAGTCATGCCGGCCACATGACCACGGAAACGTCTTCAGACAGCGCTGGCTCTTCGGCTTTGAAACGAAGATGAGCACCGCAACCCTAGAGTCGGATCCGACTGGCTTTCGAGCAAGGGAACCTTTACCTTTTACACAAAACCCAGGAACGTTTCCTTTTCTTGCAGCTGCTTGTGACAGTGACTACCCTCCCGGTGAAATCTTTCTGGAAGGGGACTTGAATCCCGAAGAGTCTTCAGGGACAGACAGTGTTTTGACAGGCATCACTCTGGTGGGTTGTGCAACCCGGTGCAACGTGCCCAGTAGCAATTGCTCCTCTCGTGGAGACACTCCTGTTCTGGATAAAGGGCAGAGTAAGTCTCAGACTGCCACAAACAGCTTTGCAAATGAGTTCTTTTGTTCGGAATGTTGTGTGTGTTTTGGTTGACTTGTCACTCATCTGTGTGAGAGGAATCTAGATCAATTGAACAGGGATCGTTTTGTAGAAAAAGAGCTAGGGGAACTCATTAGCATAACTCATTAGCATATGCCACACCCCCTGACATCAGGGGCCCGGCGGTGGACCTGAAAGGCCAGCGGGAGTGCAAGGAAGCCCCGCGAAGGCCCTCCCTGGCCCCAGGCAGGCAGGGGTGGGGAGAGGCAGGGAGGAAGCAACTTACCCTCCCTCTTCTCCTGCCTCCTCCTGGCTGAATGAGGGCCGGAAACGGGGCAGCCGGAAGCAGGGGGCGGGGCTTCGTGATGTGCCCCCCTGTACCTCACCCGGGGGAACTGCGATCCCCCGCGATCCCCCCCAAAATGACCTCTGCAATTGAACAATGCAATATGCAATTGTGATTGTGCCACTATAACTAATTGTGAATTATTTTATATTTATTTAAGATTTTCCTATGCCGCTTTTCCATACAGATAGGGTCCCCAAGGGGCAAACATCAAACACTAAAATGTCTGAACAGTAAAAACAGTATTTAAAATAATATATAAAATCTATAAAAACATATAAGCACATATGTGCTTTGTATATTACCCCTTTCTTGGTTTCATCTGCATCTCTTATCAGTGCTTCAAAAGGAGTTACGGTTTTTCGCAGAATATCTCTAAGTTTTATTTCTGAGCATAGGTGACCATGCTCATGCTTACCGTGTCAATCTTTGCTGTTTATAAAAATGAATAAAAATTATCTGTTAAACACATATGTACAATTATGATGGAAAGCACAAAGTTGGGAAGGCAAGGGAAAAAAGGAGAGATGTGTGTGTGTGTTTTTAAATTGTTTGGGCAACCTGCTTCTTTGACAAAGGCTTCTTGTATTAAAAGAAAATGCTGGAAATGACAATCTTCATTCCTTTCCTTCTGGAAATCCCAGTAGCTTGGGAATTAGAGTTCATAAGGCTTATTCCTGTAGATCAGAACATAACAACAGCTGTGCTGGATCAGACTAAGGGTCCCTCTAGTCTGGTATCCTGTTTCCCCCAGGGACAGCAAGGGGAAGACATACAACCATGAGTGTAGAGACCAAAGTTGCCTTACTGTTATTGCCTCCCCAGCAACGGGGTCATTCCAAGGTGCACTGCTTCTGCACATGGAGGTTCCTTTAGGCCATCCTGGCTAATTGCTAAATCACAGTTTCGTGTTACGCCTGAACTGAGCCAGTGTGATTATGACTTTTCCTTGTGTTTTCTTTGACACTATGTGTTTATAGTGTCAGGTTTTCTCTGTGGGTAGAATCTGTTCTGTATTCCATTTCTTGATCTAATTTTTGTTCCCTCCTCCTGTATCCAGAAAACCCCCAACCTACTGCTGATGGCTGGCAGCATCTCATTCTGATTGTGGGCATCTGCCAGCCTGCCAGTGCCAAAGGCCTAGTTCTCACTGAGGTGGTAGAAGTCTGTTTCAGGGCTGTACTACTTTCTATTGCAGGTGGAGGCATCCATGATCGCAGGCTCCTCTATAAGAAATCCCTGAACATTGAAAACTAGGTTGTGAGGGCAAAGGTTTGGCTAGAGAGGTTTAACTTTAGGGAGAAATTTTATGTGAGCCCCCCTTCCTCATCCAGCCAAGACACAAGTTGGGCCTTGCTGAGAACGTTAGCTATGTGGCTTTTCTCAGCCCCAGTTTTCCCATTTGCAATAGGATGATACTAGTACTGGCCAGTAGTCACATATGGCTGCGAGAGTTGGACTATAAGGAAGGCCGAGCGCCGAAGAATAGATTCTTTTGAACTATGGTGCTGGAGAAGACTCTTGAGAGTCCCTTGGACTGCAAGAAGATCAAATCAGTCAATCCTAAAAGAAATCAACCCTGACTACTGGAGACGACTCTGATGCTGGGAAAGATTGAAGGTCAAAGAAGACGGGGACGGCAAAGGATGAGATGGTTAGACAGTGTCATAGATGCAACGAACATGAAGTTGAGCAAACTTCAGAGGACGGCGGAAGAACGGAAGGCCTGGCGTGATCTGGTCCATGGGGTCGCAAAAAGTCGGACTCGACTGTGCGACTGACCAACAACAAAAGTGCTGGCCAATGTTTGCAGGGTTGTTAAATGTGCCTTTGGTCTTGGCAAGTCTTCCATTCCTACCATTTCCAGTTTTGTTTGTTGATGTCAATTTTAAGGCAGGAGAGGTGTCTGGCTGGGAAGAAGACCCGGCCTGTAAACTCCTCTCTTCATATTTTTCTCTTGTTTTGCTTTTGGTTTCTGCGGTAGGCGAGGTGCCTGCAGTGAGCAATGGAAAGATCAACCAGGCTCAGTCCACCGAGGAGGCGACAGAAGCCACGGAGGTGCCCGAAAATGGCACAGATGAAATGGAGCCGGCCCAAGTGCGGCCTGGTCCGCTTACGGAGCATGTCTTCACGGACCCAACCCCAGCTCCAGCACCTGTAAGGCAGAGCAGGTAAGGAAGTGCTGCTTGACACCCACTTTTTAAGGGAAACTCGGGGTACCTCTTCTGAAAAAAGCTATTCATTCTTTAGAGTGTTCTGGAGATGCTGATGCTTATTGCAATGGCTCTGTTGCTCTACAAATGTGCAGTGTTTCTTGTGCATGCAGCCAGCTGGGTAGCAGACTGACCAAAGTAGTGGTGGTGTGGGTGTGATGAAGTACATGCAGGGAGGGGCCATGGCTGGGCACTTGCTCTGCGCCTGCAGAAGATCCCAGCTGTGATCGCTGGCATCTTCCGTTATGAGATCTCAGGGCCACAGGTATAAAGACCTTGCTTTGCCTGAGTCTCTGGAGAGTTATAAAATGTTGTCTATTAATATTGTTTACGAGTATGTTTATTAGTTTTTACTGTAAATGGTCTAAATTATCTTATAATTATATGTAATGTGTTTTGTAGTAGCTGTTTGTATGTTTGGCTTAAGACCTCTGGTCAATGAAGCTTATAAATGAAAGGAAAGGAGTCTCTGGAGAGCTGTTGCCAGTCAGAGTAGACTACTAGTCTTCAACCTTTCCAGACCAGGGACTTCTATTTAACTCTGAGAGCACCATGGGATCCTGGGAGCTGCAGGTACATGGTAGGAAGCAGGGCTATTTCTGGGCCGGAACGCACAGGAACGGAGTTCCGGCTGGCTCCCGAGTTGGCCACGCCCAGCAGGAACTCATTAGCATAACAGGCCACACCCAACAGCAGGAACTCATTAGGATTGGCTACATTAGGGGTGTGTGGCCTAACATGCAAAGGAGTTCCTGCGACAAAAAAAGGCCCTGGGTTTTGACCACAAACAAGGTCAACAGAATAAGAAGCAAAAGGTGGGTGTGGCTGGATGACCACACTTCTGGTAACATGGGGGTGTAGCCTAGTATGCTAATGAGCAGTGCAGTCAGGGGGTGTGGCCTAATGTGCTAATGAGTTTCTGCTGTCGGGTGTGGCCTGTTATGCTAATGAGTTCCTGCTGGGCTTTTTCTACAAAAAGAGCCCAGGTAGGAAGTCTCGTGAAAGCTCAGTCATGTGACAGCAAGAGTGTGAACTAGTCTCTCTGAACCAGCCTCCATTCCTGAGTGACATCATTCTGCTGTCCTGCTTCTCCTCTCAGCATCTGTGCAAGGAGAGGCCGGAGATACAGGCTGCTTGCCCTCTGTGTAGGCACACTAGGAAAGAGTCCTTCCAGGAGGCACCAAAAGTAGGGGCTCGTGACCAATGTTCCCTCTAAACTGTG